GGGCTGGCTCCGGTGGTGCGAGCCCCACGGTGACTGTGGTGGCCCTCGATAGCGCTGCGTTTTCCGTTTAGATGTGTTGGAGAATGACAAAGCCTGGAGCCAGGCAATATTGTGACATTTCCCTCGGGATTTAGACGGCGTTTGTTTTGATCCTGGCGGGAGAGGTCTGAAAACGTTTGCGGTGGGAAAATTTGTGGTATTCCAAAGTGCATTTAATTTATTTTTTTTTTAATGCAGAAGTACAACACCTGATGAGCTGGTCGATGTGTTTTTGTGGAGGCTGACGCTGTGCGCCTGGGGAGCCCACTTTAGCCCAGGTTTGTAGCGTGTCGCTGGTACCTTGAGCACCTTTGCCTGTGCAGCGTTCGGGGAGTTCCCTGTCCCCCTTGCACTGTGCCTGAGGAGTTTCTGGTTCGCGCCCATGCGAGGGTTTAGCCACTCGGCTCATGAGGTCAGGAAGATTAGATACTGATACAAAAGGATATTTTTTGCGTTAGTGCTTCTGCAGTCATTTTTCAAATGTGTGTAGCTCAATACTTTTAGGATTGCATTTCTTGTTGACCTGTCATATGCGCTAATAAAAATACCATGTGGCTTACTGGGTTTGTGTTACCTTAGTGGTACATGACCCCATTTTGCGTGTATTTTGGCCTATGTCATATATACCTCGTGCGAATTCCGTAGGCACTGAATACTAGACAGTATGTTAAAAAAACATAGAAAACAAGACACACTAAACACCTTATCATGTTCAAAACAACATTCCCTCCCCAAATAACCTTCGCTGGAAAAAAATTATTTTTGTCTTTAGCAGTTACATTATCCTGGAATTGCAATCTCTGTTACTTCATTTTTTAGAAGATTTTAATCACAGGGGTTTCAGGTTTACCATAATTCCTACCTTAAGGGGAAATTAGGATGTCAGGTGTTTTGGCACAGTATACAGTGAAGTCCGAGTTGTTAACTGCTTCCTGCTTTATGAGATGTATGGGTTTTATCATGAAAACTCTCTTTTCCCACTTGATTTCAGCTAGTCAATAATAACAGTTGTTGTCAGTGTCTGAAAATAAACATAGCCGTGTAAATTTCAAAAAGTGGTTTCTCCTTTTTTACAGCAATTATTATCTTGGTTACGACCCTGTGCGTCATGTGTCAGAAGTCTTAGTTTTGAACTTTAATAAAAGTAGTCCATCTGAGAAGATGGCCAGTACAGATCACCTAACAAATGCAGATAAAAAGTAAGTACTTTTTTTTTTTTCCCCCAACACAGGAATACAACAATTACTGAATTGTAACATGAAAATTCTTGCAGTTTCATTAGTAGGATCTTATTTTGATGAAGTCTTAAAGAAAAATAACTGATACTGAAACAGTCTGAAGCAATGTCGTAGGAAAGCTAATACCAGCACCAGTGAATTTACACCTGAAGGGAAGAAACAGTTCTTAAGCTTTTCATTAAGTTAACCAGCACTTGGTTTGGACTGGTGCTGTAGAGATGAAACCCTGCATAGAAATTCCTTAATGCTTCTGCAGCTATGAAAACGTACTTGTATATAGCAGATTACTTCCTTGTACGTATAGGGTAACTACAGTAACGTAAGACACTGTATGGAGTTTGTGTTATAATGTATCACTTTTTCAGAATACTGTGTCTGCGTGCCTTTAATGTTGTATATGTAGTGCTTTGGAACCATCTTATTTTTTACCAATGCCATGGGATATATAATGATAATTATATTCATTCTATAAACCGTAATTTTATCCACTTAAAAGTTGAAAGTTGAATCAGATTCATTCAGTTGTGATTGAAAATCGTAACTCCAGACAGCTCCCAAACTGCAGAGTAACCATGCCAACATTGTCATCAAAACCATAACTGAAAACAGGCACAGACAGCTCTTTGCTGGACTATCATGTTTGCTGTGCTTGTGCAATAGAACTGAGCAAGAAGTATTCAAAAGTATTGTCAAACAATTTAGCATAGGTTTTGAATTATGCCACTTCATAAATAACTTTTTTTTTTTTTAAATCCCCAAAATGTTAAAAAAAAAATAACCTTTCTTTTTACTGGGATCTGAAGAAGCAAACGCTCTGCTTGTCTGCTGGAAATACAGGGTATGTAATGCAAAGATACGGCTTTAAAACAGCCATGGCTTGCTAGATTCATGTGGAAGGCACATTATGTGAATAGTTACTAGATCGCTGTACTCGAAAGGCAATTTTTCACATGGGAGATGAACATGAAAGGTGCATATAACTGCACTTCAGCTACATGATGAAGAAAGACTATAATTTTCTATACTTTTTTTTTCCGTGGGAGACAGTATCAATGCACAATGCTTCAAGAATGTGCTTGGTTATATGTTAATTGAGGTTTACCTAAACTTTAAATAATACCTTTCTTCTCTACGTAAGGGGTTAGCCTCAAACCATTCATGCTTCTCCACAATTACAACATTGCTCAAGCTTTTTCTTCATGTTTAACAGTAGCCATATAATGACATATGTTTTCTTTTAATCTTTATGACCTAATCAGCAAAATGTATTTTGAATAATTAGTGGGTTTGGATAGATCAGAAGTGTTTGTTCATGCTATGTGATACGGCATTCTCTTGGCTGTGGTCCTTAGTAACATCATGAGATTTCATCTTGTAGGATTAGTGAAGCTGAAAGGCTACAGCTGCGTAATTGAGTCATATAGGATTTTTGTAAAAGACCTTGGCTTTATTTGTGACAAAAAGACCTTGTGAATTTTGATTTGGAAGATTCTGTAAATCTTTTTGTCATCTGCTAAATTATTCTGTAATCCATCTCAGTTGCTAAAGCATTACAAAATTTCCTTTGGGAAAGGTGAGTCACAGTTAATAATGTTGCCAGAATAGAATGGTTTACTAGCTGTTTGAAATAAAATTTTAGTTTGTTTGCTGCATAAAATAACAAATTATGTCTCTTGAAAATTTAGTCTTACTTACTGGTATTAGATTTTATGGAGTTTTAAGTTGTTACAGTATTCCTAGATCTTTCTGGAAGTAAAAAGTAATTTGTGTTCCCCTAAGTATCTTCTTGAAAGGCAGGGAACTTGCAAAAGAAGCAAAAATACCAGTTTTCTGTATGAGTCCTTTAGAAACATTAAAAGTAGCACAGCAGCAGAATTTTAAGGTAAAGAGTGATAGAAGCCTTGAGGATGAGGTCAGGAAGCTGGACAGTGTGTAGTTTGCTTTGAAGAAGGGGTGGAGGAGCAATTGTTTGAACAAGTGTTGTATTACTGATAACAACTAATGAAAAGAGGTGGGCACAATAAGAAGCTTAATACTATTTTATGTCTGCGTAAATTGTGGGGAAGTTTGTTGTGACTTGTTTAATAAAAATAATTTTTTGCATTTTAATAATGGAAATGCAGAGCCTCGAGTCATACTTTACATTGGGGGGGTGTGGGGTGTGGTGTTTCTATTGCAGAAAACATGACACTGGATACAAGCCATATTGGTCTAAGTGATTTGTTTTGACGAACGTTCCTGGTACTGTTACCACAAATTGAGTTCCACTGGTGTTAAGAACAGTGACAGTTTTGTTGGAGAAAGGCTATTGGTATTTTATCTTCTGTAAGCTGGCCTGGAGCAAATCGAGTTGATAGGATGCTGAAAGCAGCAATGCCTTTTCCTTCATGGGACAGTAACACCAGCAGAGAGAAACTGATTGAGGAAAGACTGAAGGGCCAAATTTTCGTCACTGAATGGATGCAAGTAATCCAAATGGTGCCAGTGGAGCTCTTCACGTTTCAGGAAATGGGAAGCCTGCTTTATGTTCCCTCTTCCATCACTAATCTGCTCCTTAATGGGTGGTGGGTTTCACCCTTCTGCCCCTCAGAGACTGCAGGCTCTGACCTCAGCATACGTGAACACTACAGAGCATGTTGCCTAAAGCAAAAAGATCCTTTCCCCACAACAATTACGTGCTAAAGAAACCACAGTCACTGCAACTTTAAAAAAAAAAAAAAGGTGCATGAGATAAGCATAGCGTAGCCGAGCTGTCCTGCTGTGTGGCTCTAGACGTGGCAGCTGCTGTCTCGTCGCGGGGTTACTCGTTAGAGAGGATTCACCTTTCTACTTAAAGCCCTCAGGGAACACAGAATATTTAGTTTTTGTTTTAAACTATGATCTTCTTAAGATCTTTTAGAAAGATGGGGAGAAATAGGAGTGCATCTTCTGATGCAAGTCTGGAAAAAAGGAGTAGTTAACCAAACTGATGTCAGGGGCTCAGAACTTAAAATATGCGTATCTCTGCAAGACCAAGCCTCGTATCACAAGGAAGTCTTACCTCTGGAAATAGGGGTAGATTTTTTTTTTTTTACTTTTTCAACTAGATTATTCTCATTGCAATGATATAAATTTACCGTTTTTATTTGCTGTCACAAAAAAAGTTTCAGCTTCTGTTTCTAGAGAAAATACTTGACCCAAGTTCAGTGTTAACTTTTGCCTGTTTATAGTGAAAGACTGAAAACCAAGTTAAAGCATGACACACGTTAATACTGCAAATGCGAAGTAACAGCATAATGGCATTTGTTTCATTAATGCGTTCGGTCTGTCTGCTTTGTTGGCTTTCCCTTTTGTGTGTGGATGTACATAATCCCATCTGCTAGGAAGATTGCTTCAGAAAGATTGTGAGTTACTGCTTTTGACCTTGTTTGAAGGGAACGTGTAAAGAAATTGTTGGAAGAACACCAGTAAATTATTTTAATTATTTTGTTTGGCTTGTGCTGCTAGATCTAGATTGCATAATCACAGTTGTAGTAAATGCAAGTAAATGTTTTCTTCTTTGTGTTTTCAGTCTTTAAAGCTGCTAGAAATTGCCATTTCAAACACTGAAAAAGTAAACGTTACCTCGATAGGTGAACTAGTCCATATGACGCAGAGGGTTTCAGAGAAGATTAAGTAGGCAGACACAGTCATCCCGAGCTCTGTCTGTTTGGGGTTTTTTTAGTTAGTAGCAGAAATTGTCCTGCACATAACCTTTATCTGGCTGAACTGGAAACCTCCGGTGTATTTTGGTTGTGTTTTCATTGCCTTTGCTGCTGAACTGAAGAATGTCCTTACTCTCTCCAGGAGATGAAGATGAACCAGAGCGTTTTGATGGTCTTTCTCTCTTATACTGGTATGCTTAACTATTAGGTTCTGACGGCATTTTTCTAGTCTGTAATTGGGAGAAGTACAGTAGAGCTCTAGCCATTTTATCTAAGTTTAAAAGCTGTAGCCATTTTCAGCTTCTTTTTTCTTTCCATAAGCAGCCAGAGTTTATCATTTAGAGTGTTGTTCAAATGTCAAGTAATATCTGTTTTGTGAGGGAAGAGTGTTATTCTTCCATTGATAAATCTAGATAAATATTTGATTGTGGCTATAAATGACTAAGAATTCCTCAGAAATGCAGTTCAGCAGAATATCCAGAGCCATA